GCCGCCACACTTTCCTGCTGTGTAGAGACAGTATAGGACACTTCGCGATATATCAAGAAACACTGATGCCAGCTCCAGCTAGTGGCAGAACCTGGTGAAAACAGTCTAAGCTTAGTGCTCTGTTGGTGTTTGTTTGTTGCTCGATTTTTGAAACTTTTAATTGTCTTTCTGGCCAATTTCTGGAAAACGTATTTTACAATACTGTTCTTGGTATACTTTTTGGTGTACTTCCTTATGGCAGGAAAAATTTGTGCAGTTTTTGGGTGTCTTAATTATGAAATACAAAAGAACTCGCTTTCGTTCTTCACGTAAAACTAGTTTATCGAATGTAGATGAAAAGCATAAATTAAGAAACTGGCATATTCTGACTAAGCAGTATGTGAATGCCACGCTTATCTACTCAAACGAATTAGCTATTAGTTTGTTTTCTAATATTGTTTTCGATAGAGACTTTTTAAATTGTTTACGTCACAGTAAACTTGAGGTCAAAAATCAATTAATGCAAATCATTTATATTCAATTGGAAAATATTGTATGTGAGGAGTGTACTAATTTGCATGTTAGCAGAGGTATAATGTATTGATAAAGTGCTCTTTAAAGAAAGCAAATTTTTAAAAAATACCTAATGTATCACTGGAAATGTTAAGGCAAGAAAAATCTTGCATTTGCAACCATTTTATTCTTGGAATATATACAACATCTCTTTTGTACATTATTATTTTCCGTAATTTAAGCCATTCAATATAATTAAATCAAAGAAAAGTACAAGACCTAAATACGACAAGAACTAAATATTTTTAACATCCTAGAAAGAGTCGAAAACAGAAAAACAATTGGTACAACTATATAGTTAAAATGAACAACGTCAGACTCCTAAACAAATAATGAATTAAGTACAGGTTGGAAGACCAGGTGGATTGATGATATGAACGTTGAAGAGGGCGGAACAGGACTTCAGGTTAATCCTTGATGTTGAAGAATACCAGGTCATAAATATTTATAACAATATTTTAACATCCTAGAAAGAGTCGAAAACAGAAAAACAATTGGTACAACTATATAGATAGAATGAACGACGTCAGACTCCTAAACAAATAATAAATTAAGTACAGGTTGGAAGACCAGGTGGATTGATGATATGAACGTTGAAGAGGGCCCAACAGGACTTCAGGTTAATCATTGATATTGAAGAATACCAGGTCATAAATGAGTTTCATTTTCTTCCACAGGCATAAAGATTGTTTGGTAACCATAAATTGATTATCCCTAATATTAAATATTAATTGATTATTAAAATATCCCTATATATTTGTGGGTAACTAATGTTTAGGCCAGATTGGACTCGATGTAGATTCTTTAGTTTACATCATGTTCATTTGATTTTTGTAGGTAAACAGAGTGTAAAATACTAGTGCAGTTTTGTACGGCTTAAGTTTTACTACCAAGTTCCTAAATGCATAATTAAGTACTATTTTTTCTAAAAGTATAAATCACATATTTAATATTCGACTGAAATGCGGTTTGATATACGATGTGTTCACGCGCGCGTACCCCGCAGACCAGCCCAGAACGGATCTTGAGCATAGAGGAGAGATACAACTAGAGAGATATATCTCTACTCTATGATCTTTAGGCGAGTGCCCGAAAAGGGAAGGTTTCTTTGTGCATACTTCAATTAATAATATTAATTCAGTTGGCACTTCGTAACCTGTGGTGCTGTCATCCAAACAGGAGTTCGTTGAGATTTTTTCTATTTGTGCGAGTATATGTGGAGGCGGAAACTAGTGGGGCAGAAAAATGAAAGGCAAGAAAATGGAGGTTTTCCTGGAGGTGAGTATTTACATAAAATGCGTTGGGCAGACAATGTTTTATGTTAACGCTAGGACCGAGGACCCGAGCCTCGACCTCAGCTTGGAACTGCGTAAGAAGCGTCACATTTCGCGGGAAAGTACGTTGGCCGCGTCGTGAGTGACTCATTCCCGGAATTGACAACGCGCGTGAAGAAATCGGATTATAAACTGCATTTCTACTAAGTGTTCGAAACAAAAATTGTTGTCATCACTTTATGAGTGAAAAATCAGATTTATTTTTGTCTTCCCTAAGCAAAAATCAGGATTGAACGCTGGAGTGAATTGTGAATTGTAAATCGTATTGTAAGAGGTCCTACATGGAGCCTGCTCCGGAGCCCAACAAGAGTTAACCCTTTGCGGTCGTATACATTTGGTAACATTAACGCCCAGAGAGTATATATTAACGCCCTACATTTAATAAGCTACAAGTTAAACGTGTACTATTTCAATGTTTTTGGTAAGAAGGCATCTGTTAGATGACATGGCTGAGGGCTGTCGAGCTGACAGCTTTGGAAGGTGACTCGCCCCACATGTCGGATATATATATATATATATATATATATATATATATATATATATACTCTCTGGATCTGAGGATATCTCTCAGATGACAGCATCCATTTTGTACAATCCAGGTGGAGAGCATCTCAGAGATGACAGCTGATTTTCTTCACATTTCTAGATAAGATCACCATTCAACAATGATCGATACTGTTTAAAATACAATGTCAATTGAATAAAATGTCACACATCTCCGTGCTTTGGTGGTCTTTTAGAGAGCAATTTTGAGCAAGTTTCGTCAGAAAACGCTTGAGTTTTCGAGAAGTTTTATATGACATTATTTAAAACACATGTACTCATAAATATATTGCTGCTAATGTTAATGTTAATAAATACATTTCTGCTAATATTAATATTAACGACGTTAGAGACAAGCAAAAACATCAATGTTTGTATTAATTGTAATTAATTCTTGTATTTAAAAAACAAAAGAATAGAGCAATACGGCATTTATGTCATAGAGTGCATTCAGCACAAAATCTTCCAAAAGTTTAAAGAAAAAATTTGAATCTATTTTTGAGAAAATATTGCTTTGTATTTTTTTTTAATTCGCCCAAATTGTACGCAACATTACGCAAAAACTATAAATTATTCAAAAAAATGTTCATAAGAACAATTTATGGAGAACAATGTTTTTAATGAAAAATATCTATCTTTAATTTTGTATTTGTGTACAAATATGTTGTAGACCCCGAAAAAAATACAAAATTTTCAATTAACCGTGAAAATCGAACCTACGCCACATTTATACGTGTATTCTTATAGGAAATTTAAAGAAATAAATTGGAGCCATTTTTGTGAAATTTTTGAAAATGTCTCCGGGGCTTCTTGTAAAGTATCCCCCAAAACTAATGAATGATTTTCAAAATCGCTGAGCTTCGAATCAGGTCAAATGGACAGGTGTTTCTTCAATTAGGAAAAAATTAATTTGCATGGTTTAGGGGTTAGTGTTGTTCATATACACCACTAAAGGGACGGACGGACATTTTGAAAAAAGAAACACTACTTCCTTTCCCGTATATGTACGTTCGTACGTATGTAAACGGGAAAGTAAAAATAGACTAAAGCTTCACATCGACCAATTACGTAGGGACAATAACGGCACACACCGATTGACGAAACGACAAAAAAATCACATCATTCCATACTCCTTTTTCATAAAAATCCAATTCCATCCCTCTTCCCCAACAAAATTTCATGAAAATATATACTTCATCTAAATAACCTTACTAATTTTCCTCTGAAGCCTTCTTTCAGTCCTATTCCTTTAACACTTTGGATGTAAGTCTTCATTTAAAATAAAGTAAAACATTTAAGAATGAATTTAAAATGTCTTGGAGACATGGCAGAAAAGAATTGTATGTATTCGAAACAAGCAATAGTGTTCTATAAAGAACAACTTTCATAGAGCCACAACATTGCAAACGATGCTGGAAAACAGGTCTAAATATTGCAAAATGGCGCTTTTAGCAAAAATCGATAAGAAAATATGTGCCCGTTGTTGGCATCGCTGCATTTGAACTTTGTTGACAGAGCTCATTGATGTATGATAGACAGAAATGCGATATACTATGTGCTGTTTTTAGCACCACTAGTTTCCCCTACAATTGCACTTTCTTAACGGTAGTATCAAAAGGAAACAAGTAATGTCAGACATATTTGACCGACATGGCTCTGAAGCGAAGCCGTGTTGTCAAAAGGCCATGTAAGTCACAAGTGAGTGACATTTTGTTACTCGAATTTATAATTAAGAAAGATAAAAAAGTCGTGACAAATACAAAATATTTTATCAAGTAGTCTACATTCATGTATTCAAAAGTTTAACCATGGCTCCAGGAGAAACATACCAAAATTATCGTGACAGGTGTGTTAATTTTCTGTTGAAAACAAAATGAAGAGGGCTCCCTCTCATTTTATCAAAACCAATTTGTTGAATTAAATTTCAAGACAGTCCATACAGTTTTGGAAATAAAGCTCGTCATATGTTTGTGTTTTCCAACTTTTTTTGAGCATGTAATTAAATTAAATTAAAATAAGAAGTATTTCATCGTGACGTAAACCCTGTGACCCCCCCCCCCCAGGACCACCCTTTGGCGGAAGAGGGTCATGGGATTTCCGCCCCCTCCCTCGGCGCGTTTGATTTATATTAAAACATACAGCTTTTGCTATTTTTTATACTAATGGAAGTCATTCAGTATCGATTGTTTACGTTATATATACCAACCATAAGTAAGCACATAATAATACATTTTATATTTAGCATAAATGAAAAAATCTTTAAAAGAAAACATCAAGGCGAAACATGCACGGTGCGCCTCTGATTTGATTTAGACTAATAAATGCTTTTCGTGATTTGGCACTCAAGTACATTGTAGCACTGGTGATTTGCTTTCCCAAACAATATTCCCGATGTGATTCATAGGGTACTGTCAGGTCAAGTCCTGAATGTTGTTTTATTTTGAAACAAATTATAAAAGTAATCCATTAAAAATAGTATTGCTTTGTCAATTTTGTTTCAACTGGAATCTTAGGTGCTCAATATTTTGTCTGAAATCCGTCTTCACCATCTCATACCTTGCCAATGACGTTAGTGTTCCCGAGTCGAGAATCCCGACACGACCTAATTCACTTCTAGCTTCCTATGACCACGCGCTAGCGTAACGTCAGATCCAGCAATCAGCTGCGGACGGTGACGTGATTCAAAGATTGGTTGATGCAGTACATTCAGAAGGAAGAACGAACAGGGAAGTTATGAGTTTATTGGAGAATGTATTACAGAGCATGCCTGCTCTATTGTAGTGTCACTTCGAAATTAAAAAGCGGACATTAAATTTCTTCAAATACAAGCTTCAATACAATGAGATAGCCCCCTCTACAGAACGAGAGAGGTATTGTATTAACTATATATTTCAACTTTTCCATTGTCTTCTGACATTTACTTACAATTTTTCAATAATAGCATTAGAATTTGCGTTTTTTGCAAAATATTATTGGATATAACCCCGTAAATGAACCTTTTGCTCTGGAATTCAGAAAAATGTAACTGTGGTACCCTTCAAATTTTCCTGATAATGCATTAGCATATATTTAAACATACAAAAATACTCAACATTATCGATTTATTTGGAATATTTTTATTGATGAAGTGATTAAAAAAAGAAAGCTTAAGAAAATTTGGATTGACCCATTTGGTTTGCATGTTTTGTAACTAGGTGGCCCATGTAGTTAAGAGAAAATAGTGATCAAGAATACTGCTAGGTAAATCAATTCTCATTACCTGTTTATATTGAAACTCGCTTTTTTTCTGATTTAACTTTTATATTTACAACACTGTTTTAAATAAGTTATAATATTGTCATACCTTTATTCTTTTTAAAATGTTCATTAAAAGAAATAATTAGTCCATTAGTCTAGTACAACATTTCAAGCTTCAAGGGTATTTACCTCTGTCCTGACCTGTATTAAGAGCTTTAAGAATCTTGTCACAGTCAATCGATATACCTGTGGTGTTATCAGTATGACAAAAGTGATAATGGAGAGATAAGGCTTTTATTGAATATCTCATGTTTGAGCTGCCATATTTTTGTGTGTCAGTTATTGAGGAACAATAGTTTTAGTACAAAAATTACAAATTTCTGCTTTCTGTTAAAAATTGAATATATTTTTCAAGAACTCTTTATGTAGAAATTATTTTTTAAAAGAGATTGTGTAACCTTTTAAGAAACGGGTGTACTTGTGATATTCATATCCATTTTGGGAAATAGAAAGTTGATCACACAAGTATCTCTGGGACATATGAAAAATGAACATGATTAATAATTCTGATGTAAAATCCTCAGATCTAACTAATACTCAAACAATGATGAAATCTATGAAGTGTGTGATTAGCTAGTACTATTTATGCAAAAGAATTATGTGGTGCAACAGCTTCAAAATGTGTTGTTCTGGTTTAACAGCTATGTGTGAACCTATTTTTGGCCAGTCAAAGAGAGGGCAGCCCCAGTCACCAACGGTGTGTGTAGAGAATACTGAAACGTGGGAACAGAATAAAAAATTTACAGTAAGTTACTGCTACAGATGGTATGTTATAAGCCATCTCTTTCAGGAACTAATATTTTTGTTTAATTTGATAAATTATCATATTTGAATATTATGAACAATAAGAAAACTTCAATATACATATGGATGCTAATTTGATGGCTATTACATCTATATCTACATCTACTACTCCATGTGCTACTACATCTGCTTATAAAATAATACGCATATCTTTCTCTTTATTGGAAATATTGAAGTTTAATACGTTTGTGTTAGTGGACTGAAAAATGTCACTAGTGATATTTAAAACCTTGGAAGGATGAGGTTTGTGAAAGTATGGTATACAGATATGACAGATAATTCCAAAATTAATTTTTTAATTTTTATTTCACATTTTTCACTTTCATTTCAAGTTTATTTTTGAATTAATATATTTTTCTTGTTTAAACAATTCATTTTGGAATTGAATAAGTAAAATTATCTGACCACAATATAACAATTGTATTTATTATATTATAAAATGGAGAAATTTCCAAACTAGATTTGGAGAAAATTTCCCCATCTACTCCAGTGGTTATAATAGCAATATCATCTATAAAATGTACAATTTCAAACTAGATTAAGAGTACATAAGTTTAAATTGAGACTAAAGTCAAATATAAGTAAATAAAATAGTTTTATTGTGCACATTTCCACTATATCTAATCTAAAGTGATTTTATCATAATTTTTATTAAAAACTTTTAAATTTCAAAAATTATTCATTCTTGTTTACTTTTTGTGTTTATATTTATTCATTCATTTACTTTGGACCTGTGGCACTTGCTCAAAGTGCAAAATTTAATGAATCTTTATTGGAATGTGATGTAAATTTGATGTTTATAAAAATATTGTTATTTGACTTGAGATTGATATTTCATTTTTTGACAGTTCAGCACTTACGCCATCTGGGAACATGATTATAAGTAGATTTATTAATTTTGTAATGGGGATATTTTATTTGTGTGGTTGAGAGTGTTGGATTCTTTTTTGATGGTCATTTCAATATAAAAAAGTGGATATGACATATTCAATTTCCTTACTAACAATTGAAAAAAATGTTTTTACATGTGCAAGTTTAAGGAGTATATATGATAGAATGGTGGCCAGACGCCAAGCATGCAATAACATTGCAGTCATCAGTGATTGATATAACATTTTAATAGATTTGGACTTTGAGAAGTCAAATAAAATGTTTTGACATAATTACCCAATCTTCTGTGTGGTATGAAGAATATATTTTTGCTGTGAAAATCCATTGTATTTTTGGTAGTTCACGGATTTTAATGATCTGACTTAACAATGTTTATAAGAGCACCTTCTTGTATTCAAGGTAAATATTTTAATTCATTTTGTTTCCCTCTGGTGATCATGGTAATCTAACCTCAGCCTTCAAAGTGGGAAGCCAAAACAAAAACTGCTAGTGTACAAAATCTGGAGCCAGATATCCTCTCATTACAAGTAAAGCAAACCGGGAAACATTTAAAATTTCGTGACTCTTCATAAGAGACTGTTTGAATCATTTTTGTCTGCAAGTGAACACCATTGAATTATTAAAAATGTCTCTTAACATAAATATTTACATGCAGATTGTTCAAAAAACTATAAATGTATGGTTTTGATCATTCAAAATTTGTTAATGAAAATCTTATCTATACCGTATTTGTTAGCATCCTGCCCCTTATTCAGCCCAAATATTCAAACAAATTGAAATAGTTATTGAAAAAATCTTCAAGTATTTTTGGACAATTCTCCCAATTTGATCAAAAATTACTCCAAAACTAACCACATGATTGAGAGGGGGGAGAAAAAACTAGGATATGGAAAAATATTGAAACATTAAAGAATGATAATCTGGCAGATGATCAAGCGATTCTGGCAATAACAGAAGATAAAGTTCAAAGAGCATTATTTAAATTCTTCAAAATTACAGACGAATATGGAATACAAGTATCATCAACAAAGACGAGAGCTATGGAAGAAACACCAGAGACTGGAAATTGTAATAGATAGAAAATTATTAAACAGGTAACAAATTTCACTTATTTCAGAAACAGTTTGGTATTAGCAAATGAAGGTTTTGAAATGAATTTGTCTAGATACAACAAAATTAATTGATGTGTCAAAATACATTTTAAAAATTATGTGAAAAACCTATGTTCAAACTATACTATGTGAATAAAAACTTTGAGTTCACCAATCATACTATATGGCAGCAAAATAAGGGAGCTGAAGAAGAGTGCAAACAAAGACTATAAGATCCACAAATAAGATATTTGAGATCAATTGGAAATGTCAATAGAAAGGACAGAAATCAGGACATAAGGAAGAGGCTTAAGATGAAGAATATAGTCAAGGAAGTGGAAGATTTCCAAAAACAATGACAGAAACACATCAAGAGAATGATCACAATCAGATATATGAAACAGATATTCTCATACAAATCCAAAGATGTGGAAAACCGAAACTAGGATAGTAAGACCAAGAACACCTTAGTTACTGGGGCAATACTGAGTTTGAAAGGAACAGGTCATGCTGATCTAATCTTTATTAGTTGACAATGAGGAGGTTCACTATTCATGTTTTAAAAAAAAAATTGTTTATGGCCCAATTAAGGATTGAATTTCAAAAACAAAATTGTACATGTCATTATTTAAAGATATGATTTTAAAGTACAGATTACATTCATAAATATCTTTTTCTTCAATAGTGTACTTGTAGTAGGGGAACTTTTGAACTTTTGGAATGTTTAAAAGTTCAGAGCTTTTAATGAAAAGCAGACCTACATAATTTGATAAATGTACTTCGGTCTGTAAGAACAAAACATGTAAAGAATATAATAGTAGCTGTTTTTGCGAAAACTTTGAAAATGTTCTAGGGGTTTCATTAAAGTGAAAAAATAATTGCATGGCTAATTCATGTAGCCAGAGGGACGTCAAGGCATACCGAAGAATTGATATGCCAAAGATTCATCTGTTTTTTGAGAAATTCCTATAAATGGTTTAGACATCAGCTCAGACAGATAGTTGTAAAAATATCCTTTATTTGTTTCCAGGGACCCTCAAACCTTGTTTTTGCATTAAAATTTTGTCCTGTATTTTTTATAGCATTACAATTCTTTGTATTCTACCGTGTTTAAAAAGAAAAAATATGATGAAAGATGAACTTCAGCTCAATTGTAAATAAAAGAATTGAAGGGACCCAAATTGGAAACCTTTTTTGTCCCAGAATACTTAGTGTTAAGATTTATTTAGTCAAAAAACAATAAAAATTGTATGTGATCTGTGTTCTGTAAAAAAAAAAAAAAAAAAAAAAAAAAAAAAAAAAAAAAAAAAAAAAAAAACACCCTTCAGTTTTACTTTCTAGATAAAAATTTCATACCTCTAGTAAAATATTACAAAATATGAAGTATTTAATAATATTTTGTAGAGTTAGGTTAATTCTTTCAATTTAACTAATATCAATTCAAATAAATTTTGTGTTCAGTTGTATCAAAATAACTATTTTTTCCTGTTTTCGTTGAAAATAAATTCTTTTAAGGAATGCTTAATTTTTTCAATAATTTAAAAATAACAGATATTTCTATAATTAAAAGTACAGAACATATAACTCTAAATGGGTCCTCTTACATCTGTAACAAAATTTAGAAAATGTAAAAGTTTAGACTGAATTTGACCCAATAGATTTAAAATCAGTATTGCAGAAACTAAGAGTTTTATTACTTCAAAGTTCATTACTCTGTAATTGCAACATTTTCCCTAGACTTCATTGTTTTGTTGGAAAATATTGATTTAGAAGTCAATGGGTTGGCATATATATTTAGAGCTGAACAAGCTTTTGGATGTTGTTGTGGCAGTGTTGTATGTTAATTCTTGTGTTGTGAAGATTTTATTTTTTAATGTGATTTCTTTTGGATGTTTCTTCCCTCAGGTTTATAAAGTGATGGTGACTGAAGATAACCACACTTGGTTTGTGTTTCGGCGCTATAATGAATTTCATAAACTTTATGAATTTCTGAAGAAACAGGTACATTAATTATATTTTATGTTAACATGCTTTTCAATATTTAAAAAATTAAACTGTACTGTTTCAAAAATTATAATGTTGAATATTTTCAACATCTTTGTGATTGCTTATGAATTAGTGTTTTTGAACTTCTTTAAAAAAATGCAAGTTTAGTTGTCAGGATTCGGCTTGTTGAGTTGAACTGTTTTTCTGAAAGAATCTTAATTTTGTTACTAATACAGCGATAAATAACTAATTTGCCAGTGTAAAGATAAATAATATAATTTACATCCCTGTTCATTGTAAAATTATTGTCGCTTTTTGTGATTAATAAGAATAATATGAAGTAGAATGAAATGAATTACCTCTAAAATTCTGAAATGTTGGTATTGCATTCTTTTTCTTCTAAATTGTGTTTACGATTTGTTTTTTGAAATAATTATTTCAAAGTTATCTAAATCACTACTTTGAATGTGAATACAAAATAAGTAAAATAATTTCCCTTTCAGAGATAAAATAAATTACTGAACTTTTTGCAAGCAAATAATATGTATTGCTAAGATTATGAAACAGGTTAATGATTAGATTTTCTGGCTACAGTTTTTGTACCTTAGTAGAATTTATAATCTTCTTTAAAGGTACCTCAACCTCAATTGAAATTACCTGGAAAAAAACTTTTTGGAAATAACTTAGATCCAACATTCATACAATCTCGACGAGAAGGTTTGGATGCATTTATACGCCAAGTTATGGAAGATAACAGGCTTGTCCAAATGTAAGTTTTCAAATCAAATATTTTAAGTATAAGGTAATTGTATTTAGTAATAATCTTGTCATAAAAATGAATAAACAGTCAAATATTAATTGAATTCCTATCTCAAATTTTATCATTGATTGGCTGACTGGCTGTCACTGACTATCACTGAAAGGCTCTGACTGACAGATTGTGGGTGACTGAAGGAGAGGGACCGGCTGAGCTAGAGGGACTGAAACTGAGGCTGAGTGACTGTGACTAAACTCTGTCAGACTTCAACATCCTTAACAAAAAATTCAGTAACTGTTCTTGATTTATGAAATTTTATATACTGGAACACATCCCAAATTCATTGTTAGTTTATTAGAAATAGTTACATATTTGTAATATAATTTAATCATTATTCCCGAGGTACAGGAACACCATTTTGTTGCTTTCATCAGAAATAAAACCCTGGTTACAAGTTATAGAATTCCTTGGTGCCAGATGATTTAGCTGAGGCTGCTCAAGCATTGTACGCTCAAGCCATTGTTTTTTCATGATTTGCATAATTTGAAATTGCATTAATATTGCTATTGCTGTTGCTGTTGCTTCCTGTTACAATATCGTAAAGGGAAAGGACTTCTTCTTGCTGGGTGGGTTAGAATAGTGGAATTCCCATGCATCCACCTCATACAAATACTATTAACAATCATAATAAAAAATACATTTATGTAATATCAAAAATAAATGGACATGTTTTGGTGTTTGTGTGTCTTTAAATTTTAAGTTTTGGATTTGCATTCTTAGTAATTAGCATTTTTCAAAATTTACACTGTAAGCAGCAACTTAATGAATTCATGTTAAATAAGTAACACTTGAAACTAAATAGGAAACTTAGTCAGTTTGACAATATAACAGATTTGCAGTTTTGTTTTAACACTTTTTTCCCAAATTAATGCATAATCAAAATCTCAGCACTGATCACATTAACTTAATTATCACTGTTTTCAAAGAAACTTTCGACAATTTGTCACTTTGATATTTGTGATTTTCCACATTGGCACTTAGAAAATTGGTCAGAAATTGCTTAATCTCGTATAAGTTAATGACATTGGGCTTAGAAATGGTTGGCCAATTCTAAAAATCCTTTACCCAGGTAAAACACTATCTGCCAAACGCAATTTTCAGTTTGTTTGACTACCTCTTCTGATTAGCAAGAAAGATTACAAAAAGTGGCAACCTAAGAATGCTTGAAGAGTCTTTTAGTCTTTCAATCTGGTATTCTTTCTTCAAATAAATCCTAGCAATGTCTTAAAATCCTTTGTTCTGGTTGATGACATGTCCTAGTGTTAACAGTTTGGAAGCAGAATAACTGCAATTAAATTTAGCTCATAATATAGTGTTATGCTTTTCTTACTTGATTTACAAATTATATTTAGCAGCACTCTTGTTATTCTCTGTAGTCTGATATTATTTATCTGATTAGTCTCATTATCCTCCATTTAGTTCCTCAAATCCGTGAACATATGTAAAAAAAAGTTTTCTTTCCTCCTAAATTTGTAGCATTTAGTGTGTTTGAGAAGATGCTACTTAGTACTTCAATTTTTGCTGTAACTGTAATTTTTGGATGTTTCCTTTTGAATATTACAGACCAGAGGTTCGGGAGTTCTTTCATCTTGATCGTCGTAAATTAAGTTCGGAAGAAGGCAGTGTTGAAGAAAGTAGTGAAGATGGTCAGAAAGAAGTAACTCGTGAGAAGGTAAATCTTGGTCCATCGGAAAGGCCACAGTAAGTGTCAGTAGATTTTAAAATCCTTTTTTGCTTGATAGTTTGAGACACTCTTTATCTTTTTTTTTAATATAGTAAGTTAATTTCATTCAAATGAAGTAAACTTCATATACTTCAAAATTTGAAGAAGAATTTGTAGTTGCATGTTATCAACTTCATTTTTTGTGAACAAGAATGCTTTCAGTGGTATCATACCCATTTTGATTATTTGTTAAATTTGTAACTTTATTAGTAATTAGGTAATGTTTTTCATTTTATCTAATTAGTGCACGACCAAGTGATTTCGAGTTCTTGCATGTCATTGGAAAAGGCAGCTTTGGAAAAGTTCTCCTTGCTCGTCATGTTATAGAAAAACAATATTATGCTGTAAAGGTATGTTAGGCAAGTGTATTCTGTATATAATAGTTAATAAATAACTGTAATGACACAATGTATAAATATTATTCATATTATATATTTTGTATTATGTTCATTTAATGTTATGATTATATATATATATATATATATATATATATATATATATATATATATATATATATATATATACACACACACACACACACACACATACATATTGAAGCATATTTTTATTTCTCTTTATAAAGGTTTTGAGCAAAAAACTTATTATGAAACGTAATGAGGCTAAACACATAATGTCTGAGAGGAATGTGCTTCTTAAGAATCTACATCATCCATTTTTGGTTGGATTGCATTATAGTTTTCAGACACCTGATAAATTGTATTTTGTTTTGGACTATGTTAATGGTGGAGAGGTAAGCAAAATAGTTTTGGTAATAAATTACTTTTGCATATCTCATCAATAATTGCTCTTTTAAAGTAATTTACTAATTGAGCTTTTAGTTCATTAGTTGTAAAACTAATTTCAGTTTACTGAAGATAATGGTTTTGTTGTTTCAGTTGTTTTTTCATCTGCAAAGGGAACGTGTGTTTTCTGAAGCGCGTTCTAGATTTTATAGTGCTGAAATTGCATCTGCTCTTGGTTATTTACATGCTCATGGAATTGTGTATCGTGATCTCAAGCCTGAGAATTTATTGTTAGATTCTGTAGGACATGTGATTTTGACCGACTTTGGTTTATCTAAAGAAGGCCTACTACCGACTGACACTACTAATACATTCTGTGGCACACCAGAATATTTGGCTCCGGAAGTATTACGGAAAGAGGTATCTTCTCTCAACAATGCCTTTCAAATGCTTTCTTTTTCTTCAATAGACTTTAATGAATAAGTAAAGTGTGTTTGTGAATTTAAAGGGATATGATAAATCCGTTGATTGGTGGTGCCTGGGAGCTGTGTTGTATGAGATGCTGTATGGACTTCCACCTTTTTATTCCCGAAATACTGCAGATATGTATGATAGAATATTGCATAAACCACTGGTGTTGCGTTCCAGTGTCTCTGAAAATGCTCGTGACATTCTTGCTAAAGTAAGAGTTAATATTTTTATCTCAACATTTCAATAATTTTTCATACATTGTCATCGATTGAACAAACAAAATATGAGTTGTTAACCTAGTAACTAAATATTTGGATGTTTTTTAATTGTGTATCTTTGTCCTGAGAATTTTTTGAAAAGTGTTACTACAAATATTAAGTGCTTCATTCTTGGATTTCAGCTCCTACACAAGGATCAGCACAGGAGACTGGGATCTGGATATAGAGGTTTTGATGAAGTAAAACATCATCAGTTTTTTAAACTAATAAACTGGGAAGATCTTCTGGCAAAGCGAATTCCTCCTCCATTCAATCCTAATGTGGTATGTAACATCATTTATGAAATAGTGTGCCAATTTTTAAACATTCAAAAATTGTTGATATTTTCCATGAAGTATCATGAAATTGAAATTCAAATGGGATACCATTTGTAAGTAATGGTTGTACAACGTGTAATTTCTCTTGTACCACTTCAGTAATGTTATAATTGTAGCTGAAACCCTCCAAAAATTGTACACAATTAAATCGGATGGCATGTTTTCATGGCCACCAACAGAAATTGTAGAATATATTGGATTAAGAAAGAAATCTCTATCTTAAATAAAAAGTAGGAGAGATTCAGAAAAAAATTTGAAGCTTTACAATTTTTGATTTGTATAAGTTTGTAATGAAAATCAGACTTGTGTCATGTTATTAAGCACACTTTGCTCTATTTGAGCAAGAAATTTAAAGAATGTGAAGTCAGTTTTGAGAAATTTTGAAAATATTTGAGGGGCTTCATGTAAAACATCTCCCAAAATTAAAAAATCCTTTCAGTTTTGCAGAGCCTTGAGTTTGGCTTAATTGTTGGTGTAATGTCTATTTTAAGGAAACTTGCCAATTGTGCAGGTGCTGGTGTTCACAAATTTTTCTCAGAATCTCAAAGATTTTTGTGTGCAAACAAGCTCAAAATCACTTAGTTTTGGAAACATTCAAACAACATTGTCTTGAAAAAAAGGCCCTAGTTTTTTGCCTAAATAATTCCATATGAACGAAGGTTTAAAAATGTTTTCGGTTATTTGATTTACGTTATGAGTATTTTGAAAAGAATTCAAAACCATTGTGTATACAAAGTTCTCTGAGTATTATATTCTACAAAGTTTTTTAGCATGGTTAATTTTGTTCATGTAAAAATGAAGTTATGTAAAGTTTAAAAGGCTTCCTAACTTCAGTGTTCTTGAAAAGCATTCTCATTGAACACCGTTGTTTCTGTTTAATGTAAAAGAGAACCATGATTTTCTGTTCCTCAATGAAGTTCAGCCTATCATCATTTAAAATTTATTTTTTTCGTAAGGTCCCCAGATCACAAAGGGTGATCTTTGACTGATGTATTGGACTATTGCATATCTCCCAGACCATTCAGTGAGACAGTTCTAAAGAGTTGAAAGCATATACTTTATCAGTACAGCCATTCAAGAAGTACTCTTGACCACTATTGCAGTCAGGGTGAACAGTGTTTGCTAAAAATTCTGCACAGACAATTAGATCACTAATGGGAGGAGGGTCCAGGAAGGTGTTCAGTGAGGGATCATGAAGGGTGCCCACCCTGAAGGAAGCCACTGAGAAGTTCTAATGTGATGTTTCTTTACAATGCAAAAGGACAAGGATCTCTTTACAAAAGAAGTCCTCGCTGACAGGTCATGGGAACATGTCCTTGGCGCGAATAAGCCAACTCGACGTCTTGCGAAGAAGAGAAGTTGGCTTACTGGCAAAGAAGCCAAGTCAGGGTTTAGAAAATGTCTGAGTCTTTTGGATGTATCCGAAAAAAAAATGACAGTTTCCCCACAAGGAGGTTGTGTCAAATGGCACTTCATTTATTTTGATATGTGGTCTGGAATAAGTGTAACAATGAGTGACAGGTGGAGGTCACTTTCTCAATAACTATATAATCATGATTATAAATCAACAAATGGAAACAAATTTTAAAGTCAGAATAAATGAAAAATTATTTACTGTTTTTATATGCAGTTGTACAATTGATGTTTGTAACCAATAATATGTATTCAAATATTTTCAGAAACATGTAATGGATCTTCGGAACATTGATCCTGAATTCACAAAGGAACCAGTCCCTGCTTCTGTGGGGCACTCCCAACCTGCATGTGTCTTATCAGCAAGTGTGAGAGAGGCAGATGAGATTTTTGCTGGGTTTTCATATGCTCCTCCAATGGATATTGAGTAAAATAATTGTTATATGGTAGTTAGATACATGTCAAAAAGCCAAAAGGAAATTTTTTTAATCGTTGCAAATTACAAAGTCTGATTTTTTTGTGGATGCAGGTTCTTTGGTGATTCTCTGATACTTTTAAGATCTTGTGTCTTCCATTAACAATTACTACATTTGTTGCTGAAGATATGTGTATTATATAAACATGACATTATATTAAAATATCTTTATTGTGCTTCTGGAGACTCTTTACATTTCAGTGACCATTATCTTGTGTAGCCACTTGAATGACATTTTTACTTAAATATTATTTCTGCGTTTAAGATTAAAGATGTCATTTAATAAATTAATTTTATTGTTATTAAATAATCAGTTTCTTAATTTAATCATCACAAAATTCATTCATCTTGTATACGTGACTTTTGGGATAGTTCATTTTCTCACATATACTGTTAATGATTCTTTACTTTAAGCCAGAATCAAAATGGAACAGTATTCTTCAAAGATTTATCTATTGGAAGAAAAGTTAAAATGATCATACTCATGTCTTCATTTGTTTTTCTTGTAAGTGCTTAGGGCCAATACAAATTGGTGACTTCATATAATGTGTGTTATATTTTTCAGTAATGCTCTGTGATCAAAATACATTAAATATGTCAAGTTTGCAAATAAGTAATCCAGTGGTCTCCCAGTCCAATGGTCTCTAAATGTGTAATATAAGTGAAATTGTTTTAATACAATCTAAACAATGACCAACATTGACTGGATCTCTTGATGCATCATTTTATGCATGAAATGCCGTATATATATGCCTTCTGTTAATATTATTGCTATTTATTTTTGTTTTATGTGTAATTTTTATTTTAGTGTGTTCGTAATAGTATAGTGTGATTTTTCAAAAAATTGTAATTGGCATTTACCTTGTTGATGTACCTGTTAATGTGATTTTGTAGTTTACATTTGCTGCACGTCTTTGTATTTGCGCCATGTATGTACCTTACTCATTATTCGAAAGCAATCCATTGAAGTATTTCATTCAAAAAGCAAAGTTTGTTAAATGAAAATTCTGATATATTTGAACCATTTCAAAACTATTGTTATGTTCATCGTAGTGAAAAGAGTTGACTGTTGAGGAAAGAGAGAAATTATTGCTCAAAGACTTCATGAATTTTGACATTTGTCTTCTAATTAATGTATCTTTTTTGTCCAGAATAGAAATTTGACACCAAATTAATTGAGAAAAAGAAAATTTTGCAGTGTTTTTTTGCTAATTGAAAATATTTAGTTTGTAGGCATTTCTGTGCAATATAATAACTTTTTATTGAACTTCATTGTGGTCTGAAAGAACTTCATTTGATTTGGAATATTTTAGATGCCCTTTAAACACAATTTTTAATCCCAAGGCTGTGATGTCAGTAAGCAAAAATTGGAAGTTTGTGTATTAGGTCATTTCAATTGCATTTATAATTAACATTAATGAAATCATTACGTGATTTGATTAACAGTAATAAAATCATGATTTATGGAAGAAATGTTAAATGACATTTAAGTGCAATAGAACTTGTCTGTGGTTTTTTCATATAGTAAAATCTACTTAAAATATTAAAAAAAACTATTTCTAGAAGTAAATGATAAATCAGAATGACATTTGAAGAGAAATATATTTGTCATTGTGGATTTGACAACTCATTAAGTGCAATTCTTTAGTTTAAAAGAATGATCTAAGAAGTCAATTAATGCCATGAGTAAACTTGTCAGTAAATGTGCCATAAAATAAAAGAAATATTAAAAATTCAAAAATGTATTCACCCTGGTATCTTGTATTTATTTTTTAATGTTATCTTTGTGGTCTAGTTTTTCGTCAGTTGGTAGAGGATTATCATAGATCACCACCATCCATTCATCTATGTTATATTCCAAAACTTTTCAACATTCCTGAACTCTGTTTGTAAACTAGTTTGTCCATAGTTTATTAGATGAAAAACTAGCCAGATTTTTATTTCTTACTTGCAAATACATTCATTGACTCATTTATTTTGAAGATTTTAATAGTATTGTTAAATGAGAGATTGTATTTCACATTCTATTTTTCTATGTGTTAATGTTTTTATATGTGTGTTGTTAGAGAACTTAATATGAATCATTTAAAATATTGCTACTAAGTGCCTTGTCTATTTGTCAGTTTATTGTGATAATGTTAGATACCTTATTATAAAGGCCCAAAATTGAATAAAATGTTTCATAAAATATTTATTAGAAAATACATTGTTGATTATAAAATTAATGCTGGATGTATTATTTTCACCCAAGTTGTTGTAGTTGTAGACTGGAAAGCATGATAAAAAAATTGAAGTTCACTCTGATCTTCCTTTGATGCATTTCCCTTGAAACTTATTTATTTTCGAAATGGAAATAACTAATTTTGTATGAATTACGTGTTTTACTACTTGATGAGATTCCCACACTCCAGAAATCTTATTAGTAACAATGTCATCACACAGGTTATTTAATGGTACTTGTATTACAGGATGAGATTTTGAATGTGATGTACCATAACTTATCTAAAAAGAATAAACAGGTATACCAATGTGAACAACAATTTATTGAGCATTTGTTTACCATAACCAATTCAACTAATGCCATTGTAAGCCAGTTCAACAATCACAATGGATACAACAGTGTAGCACAGTCTTCACATCCTAGCTACGTTTCTAATTACAGCACAGCTCACCTCTCTCCAACAGATACTATAACGTAAGCAGTAGATTTTACAACAGACTTGAGCTTTGCCCACTTCCCCAATCAGGTTGCCATCTTCCTAAATTCTTCTGCGTTGGTTGGTGGTTCTTTCGGCATGACTATCCCTTTTGGGATTTTTCATGCATGAAAAGGAAAGTAAAGGAAAAGCATTAACAAGTCGAGTAGAAAAGGGGGCACAAGAGTATGTTGAAGCGAAGGCGACGCTCGAAAATTTACAGGAAACCATTAAACTTTGCCGGTGAATGTAGGTTCAATGCAACCGCTCAATCTGCACGTGCCGACCACTCAAATTCTCGGGATAGTCAGAAGAAAGCCCGTATTCATTTTTAAAATCTCTGGATATTTTCATGGTATTAAGTAGATTGCCGGAACCGTACAAAACCCATTTGCTATAGTAAATCTTGCAAGAGAATGCCAGAACTAGGACATTTTTTCCACAACTATTCAAGAATTTAAAGAAAAGTTTTGGAACGATATTAGAGTGAAGAAATACAGTTAAACCATAAGGTGTATGTCATGAATTATTTTTACAAACCTGCGTTAGGAGCTTGCGCGATCACACCGCGAGTATAATTGCCGCGTTGACATTATGTTCATCACCGATGGAGGATAAAGAAATCATTTATTTATTAACTAGTGGTATCCAAAATATCATCCCTTATGGTATCAAAAATCTGATAAGAAGTATTGCGCCGAGGGATATCGAATCTTTCCAACGGTTAAACAGCAAGTACGATATCACAGCGGACTACGTAGCGAAGAACATTAAATTCAATCCAGCCACGAACGCCGTCGTAATATGCAGGGAAGACGAGGTAGAATCTGCGGCCAAGGAAGATGAACCCGAAACCCCAAAGAAGGGGAGATAACAATGGGAGAAAAGAAACAAGAGACAGAACTCCAAAGGCAAAAGAAAAGGAAAAAGCAAGACTGTTGATGGGCTGCGAAATTAATTCAAATTTGGCGCCACGCTTCGAACAGCTCAGTTTCACTACTCTTTGAAGGCATTTTAGAAGAAAAGATTATAAATTTCAAACTTCCCGCCGAGAAGATGCGGGTCGAAAACCGCGCGAATACATTCACAATTAATTACTCATTTGTATAAGCTCTTTGACATCGATTGTCAACTGCTTCCTGTTAGTTCGAAGAGTCACCCATAGATCGCGTCCCTTCCTGGGCAGCCGCAACGAAAGATTTATTCATTGACTGATTTCTATGAATCCAATTTTTCCCACATCAGACGCTACGAGCACGCGCGCGCGCCCGCCCACACACACACACACACATACACTACACAACACACACACAACCCTGTGTGGTTGCCGGTTTTTTTTTTTGTAGAATAGCGCCACGGGACCTCCGCCTGTCGTAAAAGGAAACTAAAAGGAGCAGCTGTCCGCTGCCCTTTCCCCAAATATCCCTACTTTCCCACTTAGTTTTCCACCCATCCCACAAGATCCAATGGGTGGGCTAAGTAGCTTATGGGATGTTGCTCCCTATCCCTACGAAAATTCCCTTCTCACCTTCCTTTCAATTCCATTTCTGCTGGCGGTAGCATATTAAACGGTAAGGGAAGGTTACCCCGAAAATTAACCAGTGATGGGTATGAGTGAGCCTCAAAACTTACTACCCCAAGCGAGTCGAGCGTTGACGGCGAATCTCGCCGTCTGATCGGGTGAAAGCCCCGATAGTCGGTGCCGGCTCCATGGATTTTGGGGGGGAGCCAAGCTCACAAGTGTGTCTGGGAAGAGAATAGGAGAGTGAAGTTTCTGGAGTTGGGGAAGAAGATCGGGGATCTCCTGCATTTTGTCCTGCCAAGGAATAATGTCCACGGGGAGATAAAGCGTATGGTGAGTTCCATCCGATCTGACTTTGATGAGATGGTGAACATGGAGGAGGCACTATCTGTAATTAGCTCGAAGACAGTTGAGGTGGAGACCCAGACTTCACCGCAGACATGGGGTGTCGATCCGAATACTTATGGTTATGGAGGGCCCTCGACAGCAGCAGCGGAGGTGCAGCCTACGGGGAGCAATGTAATTGGCGCGAAGACTGTTGAGGCGCGGACACGGACTCTGCCGCTGACGTCGGGTGTTGGCCGGAATTCTGATGTGATATGATGATGATCGTGGTAGGTCCTCGGCGGCGGAGGTGCGAACCGCAGTTAATGATGTGATTTGCCTGAGGACGGTGAGGGTGGAGGCGCAGGCTTCACCGCAGACTTCTGATATTGGCCCGAATGCTGATGATTGTGGTGGGCCCTCGACAGCGGCGGCGGAGTTGCGGACCGCAGTAGGCGGTGGACGAACTTCGTGGAAAGTAAGACCGCTGAAATCTACGGGAGTGGCAGAGAAGAAGCTATCAGAGTCGGTGCAGGGAAGGAACATGCAACATGCTGAAGTTCCTCAGGCACTGCACAAACCGTCTGAAGAGACACCATACCAAAATCATGAGATGGATTGGCATGTCGTAGGGAGGAAGAGATCGAGGCCGCCGAAGCCGCACTCTTATCGCCCCGAATGCGTTATTGTTAAGGCAAATGACGAAGGCCCTTCCTATGCTGACATTCTAAGGCAGATCAAGGGCGACCCATCTCTGAAAGATGCTGGTGAGAACGTCGCAAAGGTGAGGAGGAATGCTGCCGGATATCTGCTGCTGGAGTTGCGGAAATCTGCAGCAGCCTCCGAGATATCTGAAGCTATATCCAGAAAACTGGGCGAGTTAGCAAGAGTAACGACACGGAGAGACGAAATGACTCTCGAGATTCGCGACCTTGACGAGCTGACAACGGCGGCTGAAGTCTGTGAAGCTGTAAGCGGGAAATTGAAATCACCTGTTGAGCTAGCAAGTGTCATATCCGTGCGGAGGGCTTACAGAGGCACACAAACTGCAGTGGTCCGTGTACCGACGGAACTAGCCAGGAGAGCATTGAGGAGCGGCCGTGTTCGCATTGGGTGGGTGAACTGCCACGTTAGAGAGAAAGTAATTGTGCGGAAGTGTTATCGTTGTTGGGCGTTCGGACATTGGCGCGCGACTGCCAAGGGACGGACAGGTCGAAATGCTGTCACCGATGCGGAGAAGACGGCCACTTACGTCAGGCTTGCAAAAGCCCTGAGGCGAGGTGTGTTCTGCAAAGATAAGAGGAACCACCCGACGGGGAGTTTCACGTGCCCGGCGTACCAAGTAGCAATAAAGGCAACGGATAACAGAAAATGAGAGTTCTCCAGCTATATTTAAATCATTGCGAGGTGGCCCAGGACCTTCTCATCCAGACGGTGCACGAGATGAATATAGATGTTGCGATACTCTGCGAGCAGCACAGGAATATTGTCGGTCTTCAGTCCTGGGTTTCGGATACGACTAACCGAGCTGTAGTATGGATATGTGGTAATAGTCCAGTCCAGGAAGTTATGCAAGTCCCAAGGGATGGATTCACCTGGATCAAAGGGTTCAGTGTATATTTCTATAGTGTTTATGCTGCACCCAGTGCATCGTTTGAGGAGTTCGACGAATTACTTGATCGCTTAATAGACGTGAGAGAACGAAGGCCTCTTATTATTGCTGGGGACTTCAATGCATGGGCCACGGAATGGGGCAGCAGAGTAACGAATCGACGCGGGGTGGCTCTCCTGGACAGCCTTGACAGTTTGGATGTCT